AGGGTTTAGGGGGTTTGGGTTTAGGAGTTTAGGGTGTGAGATTTACGGGGCTAACAGGGTGTTTCTGAGTGTAGATTTCTGGCTAATAAACCTCCTCTCTTTGAGGGCTATACTTAAATATCAGGGTCCATGGCAGAATAGCATAACAGTAATCCCTAATTGTGAAAGGGAGGGATTTTTATCAATCAAGCGGTGACGTAAGGACCTTTTCTCCATTGCCACGTTAACATACGCCCAAGGCGTTGTTAAAGAAAGCCATAAGGCTTCAGGCTCAAGGTATAGGCTTTTGGTTTAAGGGTTTAGGGTTAATTAAGAGTTGAACTCTAAGGCAACATTCTTACTAATTAGTACCACCTAACTCTGAGTTGGCCGTGACAACAGTGCTCAATTGTCAAAGGGAAACGCCGAGCCCAGTGCGGGCACGTCACTCTACTCCAAGGTCCGTATCTACCGGCTCGCTCTGCAAAAATGGGACCAAGATCAGGCCGGGAGGGCGAGGCAGCGCAGCCTCGCAAAAAACACGGACAGTGGCCTCGGCTGGAGTCTCTCCATGCTGGGGAATGACACCGCCAAAGTCTGTTGAGGCTTGGAGTTCCCGTTCGTGAAACAATGGCCGCCATGATGCGGCTCAACCCTCTGGGTCCAAGTACCTAATAATCATACACTCTCCCAAATATTGACCTAGAAAACTACTATCCGCAACCAAAGTATCTTATTATTGGGTCCTTTGGACCCTTAGGGCAAAGTCACGGATCAACCCAATGGTGCAAGCAGCCCAGTGGTCGGCCGGCCGTGCGTGGCGGGTCGCCCTCGCTCATCATGACTCATGACGTGTTCCTACTCGGGGAGCCGTGCGAGCATGGAGGACGCGGATTCGGTCGAGGGGTATTTGGCACTGGCGCTGCGTTCGGGTTCAGGCTTGGGGATTTAGGGTTTAGGGTTTAGGGAGGAACCCCAAACCCTAAACCCTGAACCCTAAACTGTGGGGTTCAAGCTTTCGGAGCTTAGGTTTTAGGCGCAGGCTTTTGGGATTTGCGATGCGGCTTCAAAATTGTTTGTGCGAGATTTCCTGGGTTGTGCCGAATGTCTCTGAGTTTTTGGTAAGGTTTGGGGCTTTTGCGCAGAATCCTTGGCTTCGGAGCTTAAGGTTTAGGGTTTGGGGTTTGGGAGTTTGGGGCTTGCCATGTGTTCAGGCCTTGGGGTTAGCGCTTCTCTAAACCCTAAACCTCTAAACCATAAACCCCTAAAACCTAAATTCCTAAACCCTAAAGCCTACAGCCTAACCCTAAACCCCTAAACCCCAAAGTATTCAGGCTTTGGGGTTAGCGCTTCGGGTCTGCCGGTTTTCGGTGTCGTAAACCTCAGTCCTGGTATACACCCTAAACCCCTAACCCCTGTTAGTAGTAGTAGTAGTAGTAGTAGTAGTAGTAGTAGTAGTAGAAGTAGTAGTAGCAGTAGTAGCAGTAGCAGTCGTAGTCGTAGTCGTAGTCGTAGTAGTAGTAGTAGTAGTAGCAGTAGTAGTAGTAGTAGTAGTAGTAGTAGAGGAGCAGCCCTAACCCAAAGCCCTGAATCCTAAACCTTAAACCCTATCTAAGCCCCAAGCAAGCCCCTAAACCTAAGGCCTATATGGGCATTTCTCTAAATCAGGGTCCCTTCTTAGGTCCCCCAAATAGTACGGCATTCTTATAAAAGGAACCCTAAAAGGGACCCTAATTTAGAGAACTACCCATATAGGTCTTTCCCTAAACCCTAAACCCTAAACCCTAAACCCGAAAGAGTCGAACCCAACTTTAAAAAAGACCCTAAACCCTAAACCCTAAACCCTTTATGCCGCAACCCGATGCCTTGCTTGAGGCCCTACTCTCAAGCCTGGTCTTCCTGCACATGGCCGGAAGGCGATTGGATATGAAGCTTAAGGTTTAGGGTTCAGGATTTAAGGTGTAGGGCTTAGGTTTTCAGTTTTAAGGTTTAGGGCTTAGGAATCAAGGTTTAAAGTTTAGGGTTTAGGATTCAAGGTTTAAGGTTTAGGGTTTAGGATTTAAGGTTTAAGGTTTGGGGCCTAGGATTTAAGTTTTAAGTTTTAGGGTTTAGCAACCTTAAGATTTAAGTTTGAGGGGTTTAGGGTTACCATCAAAGGTGAGGGGTTAAATGTAAGGGCCTAAATAATCAACTATAGTATTTTTTGGGGGATTCCTTATCATAATCGTAGTATCATGGGCACCAAAACGGGATTCTAGTTGTTAAGGCGCCTACATTAGGGGTTTCAGGGTTAAGTCCCCTAAACCCTAAACCC